GAAGCGGGTTTATTTGCCATGCATACTCAAGAAGAATAAAAAGTCTTCAGAGAAAGTATTCTACTTTGATTCGGATGCATCAGAGGAGTGGAATATTGACTGGAAGAACTTTCGTATGGAATGAGCAATGAGTGATAAACAAGACTAAATAATGTAGCAAAGCTTTATTACATTGTCTTGTAATCATTTCCTTTTGAATGAAATTTTTTCCAATCGACATTTGCATGAAAAGCTCATTTTAATGATCTGATTAAGTGAAGTTCTAAGAAACATTCCTCAACCTATGTAAGCCAAAAAGATTTAAAAGGTAACAAGAAAATAGATTTTATCAGAGAAATATTAAATCCCAGTTAATATAGCTCATTGAATGATCAAAAATAGCATAATCTAGGAGATATTGAGGATCCAACATATAGCACACTTAAACAGATTCAAGGAACATTCAGACAAGTGACATACAAGTGGTTAGAATATATTTCAAATAAAAATATTACACTTACATACTATCAGAAACAAGTGATCAAGTTCTAAGTTTCAGAGGCTGTGATGCTTCAGAGTCTACTGTTCATCAGAAGTTATTTTAGAGCTTCTGATCACAGTATCTTCTGATCATCATCAGACTATAATCCTTCATTCAGAAACCATCACTAATCTTCAACAAAATGCATGTTCATATTATTTTTAATGAAATCAAATCTTTCAATAATAGTGGTTTAGTAAATATATTAGCCTATTGAGGATATGTATCAATGAATTAAATATCTATTTATACCTTTCTGAACATAATCTCTAATGAAATGATGCTTGATTTCATTGTGCTTGGTTATGGAATGTTAAGTTGGATTCTTTTTCAAACAGATAGCAGCAATATTATCACATAAGATAGGTATATTTCTCCACAAATATGATAATTCTATAGCTGATACTTTATCCAGAGTAATTGAATGTAACAACTAGCAGCTGAGATGTATTCAGCTTCTGTTGTGGACAAAGCAATAGTTGTTTGTCTTTTACTAGTCCAAGATACAAGGTTTTCATCTATGAATCGACAACCTCCACTAGTGGATTTCCATTCAATTATATCCCCAACATAATCAGCCTTGCAGGATCCCATAAACTTATAGTCTAAGAATTTCTTATAAAGTAACCCTAGATTAATTGTTCCTTTCAGATACATGAAGATCCTCTTAACAGTTGATAAATAAGTGTCTTTAGGATCTGATTGAAATATTGCACAAAAATAAATATTAAATAGAATATCAGGTCTAAAAGCGGTTAGGTAAAGTAAAGAACCAATTATACTTCTATACAACTTCTGACCAACTTTAGTGTTGCTTTCCTCTTTACTCAGATTGCAGGTTGGATGCATTGGAGTTGTCATGACTTTGCAGCCATCCAGCTTGAACTTCTTTAGAAATTCCTTTGTATATTTTGTCTAGTGAACATAGACTCCATTTTGGCATTGATTGATTTGAGTTCCAAGAAAGAATTCCAACTCTCCCACCATACTCATTTCAAATCCAGTCTACATAGTCATAGAAAATTCCTTGCAAAGAGTAGCATTAGTATAACCAAATATAATATAATCTACGTACACCTGAACAATCAAGATTTCATTCTTTAGTGTCTTCCTAAAAAGTGTAGTATCAACTTACCCCTTTCTAAAGTCATTTTCTATTAGAAAATTTCACAATCTCTCATACCAAGCTCTGGGAACTTGTTTGAGTCCATAGAGAGATTCTTAAGCTTGAAAACATAATATGGATTGATAGAATCCTCAAATCCAGGAGGTTGTTTGACATACACTTCTTTAGAAATCACACCATTCAAAAAGACGCCATTGACATCCATTTGATATAGAATAATATTATGGTTAATAGCATAGAAAATGAGTAGTCTGATTGCCTCTAACCTTATAACAGGGGGAAAAGTTTCAGAGAAACTTATACCTTCTTGCTAACTGTAACCTTGAGCTACCAGTCTAGCTTTATTTTTTACTATTTCTCCTTGTTTGTTGAGCTTGTTTCTGAAGACCCATTTTGTTCCAATAATGTTCTTATGGTGAGATTTGGGTACTAGATCCCAAACATCATTCCTCTAAAGCTGACTAAGCCCTTCTTACATTGCCAGAATCCATACATCATCTAATAGTGCTTTATCAACATAAGTTCTCACAATACCACTCAAATCACCACTTCACACTCACGCCAATTTCACAAACACTATTCCATTCACACCTTAAAATGCTCTCTTACCTCCCTACAAGCAACTCACTTATGGCCTATTTCACACCTTTATCCAGTCATATACAAAATGTTAATCCATAAATTTCCCCTACATTGACTGAATCAAGCCAACTTGTTTCCATTTCTCCTACACTTTGTGTTATTTGTCAACTTAACACCAACTCCTCTCAACCCACTATCACGCTAACAATTAGGTTTGTGAGCATCCACCTTATGAAAACTTTTGCGAAATTTGAAATGGTCTGTGTTCACCTTAAAATCTTCCTTATACATATTGAAACAAATAATGTTAACCGAGCCTTATTTGACCCTAAATGGTATCTTGCAATGAAGGAAGAATTTGATGCCCTTCAAAAGAACCAAATTTGATGATCTTCAAAAGAACCAAACCTGGTCTCTTGTTCCCTTGCCTCCAAATATAAAATCTATTGAATGCATTTATAAGTTTGAGTAAAACTTATATGGATCATCAGTAAGCTCAAAGCTAGCCTGGTTTCCAAGGGGGTTCATCAAATTCAAGGGTTTGATTAAAACAAAACTTTATTGTTTGTGGTCAAACCCATTACCATAATGCTTGTGTTTACTCTTTCACTCTCCTAAAAGTGGTTCATTCAACAACTAGATTTCAACAATGTCTTCCTCAATGGCCTCTTTGAAGAAGATTCATATATACAACTACCCCAGGCCTTTGAAAGTGATGACCAAATACATGTTTGCAAGTTGCATGAAACATTTTATGGCCTCAAAAGACTCTGAATCAATGACTTGATCGCGTGACCTAAACTCTTCTTATGTTTGAGGTTCAAGCAAGCAAATATGACCCATCACTCTTTACCTATTATAAGAAAAATCAAATAGTTTTATCTCATTTTTTATTTGGATGACATTATCACTGCATGAAATTGCCCTACTATTGTTCATAACCTGGTTAAACAACTTCATGTCGTCTTTAGCCTTAAACAGTTGGGGTACTATAAACTATTTTCTAGGTATTGAAGCTAAACATCTCTAATCACACTCTTATAATCACACAAAGCAAGTATATCAGAGATCTTCTCTTTAACACTAATATGAAAGATTACAACTTTATCAACACACCAAGGGCTTCTTCTTGCAAACTCTCCAAAGTTAGTCGCTACATCTTAGGATATGTTTGAATTGATAGACTAAAATGGAGCAGAATTGAATATAAGCTAATGTAATGGAGTGGATCGGATATTTCATTCCATTGTTTGGGTATTTTTGTTAATTTGACGAAATGTAACATGACTAATTAGTTCATATCGTTGCATACACCTCAAATTGGGCGAAATGAAAATCGAAGGATTAGATGGAATATGATGGAATAGATTCCATCATGTTCCATTCCGCTTCATCCATTATTTGCAAATTCAAACAATGAAATTTAATTACTTACCGCTCTATTCCATTCCATCACTTACCACAAATTCAAATATACCCTAACAAAAGCTCTACAATATGTAAAAATCACCCATCTTGAGATATCCCAAGTTGAATATATTATCATTATGATTAGGAATACATAATAACTATTCAGATGGACAGATTGTAACCCATTCCAAGAGTAGGAAAAGGAAAACAAAAAAAAACTTTACAAATCAAAGTGATTACTATTGTACAAAAATTACTATGCTAATTTATGTCTCTTGTCTCCTTTTGTGCAAGATTTATAGGCTATTGAACCGAGAACTATTATGAAAAGAACATCTTCAATGCAAGGATATTCCTGCAAATTCCTTACCTCCAATTATAGCAAATTATCTTCTAGCAGCTTGTCCGAAGAAAGGCTGTGTTAATCAAAATTAAAATTTCATCCAAATCAGTTCTAGCAGCTTGAAGGCGAAAATACTGTGAATACACAGACAAATTTTATGGTTACATCAAAATGTGGCAGCGGTCTATCTATATAAAGTTGCATAATTTTTCAAGATTTCATTATTTATTGATTGGATATCACTTGTCTTAATTTTGATTTCTCCTAAATCTGAAATGGGAACCCTCCAATTGTTTTTTGTATCATCCTAAATAATTGCTTTGCTTTGCAGTCACAAACAGAAGGCATGCACCAAATTTTATGGAAACTGACTATTATTACATAGTAGAGATATGGTTATGCAAGGCTGGTTACTCTATTGGATATGTATATATTTATCAATGTTTAGGAATGGAGAACTTTGACTAGTTTGACACTTAGAAGATAGTTTGGTTGTGACACTTAGTAGTGTTGAACTAAAAATATATCCAGTATGTCTGCTACTTAAAACATGTACTACTAATATATTTTGATTGTTGACCAAGCCATTGATGAAAGTTCTATGTTGCCTCCCTACATTTATGATGATTTGCATCCAACTATGCATTATCTATCTATATTAGAATTCACACAACAGCAAAACTTTTTTGTAGCTGCTAATAGCTATATGTCAGCACTGAGCCGTGTTACCAATATGAAGAAAACATGTGACATGTCTAATCCGTGTCTACAAAAATACAAGTATCCAAAATAAATCAAAGCATTAGGTTTAACCTAGCCATCTCATTTGACTTTCAATTGGGTTGTCTATCTAATGGCCTTTCATTCAGAAGGTTGGGTAAGCAGCAAGCTATAACCTGACCGTCCAAGACAATACCATGTGGTGATCCCTCATCTTATGGACCCCGTCCTTTAACAACAATAACTTATCAAAGAAATGGCTTTGAAGACTACAAATACACTATCTTCCCTCACAACCATCACAGCTCATTCACGTAATCAAGCACCAAAACTGAAATACATTTTTCATAAATTTGAGTTTGAAACATCAAAATGGGCTTCCGTTTACCTGCTGCTATTAGACGTGCTTCATTAAACAAATTTGACAGTATATTTATAGTTTCCAATAGTTTCAATCCCTTTGCTAGAGAAATCATTAATAAAATGATGGGTGCCATGAGATGAGAGATCACATGGAGTTGACTTAGATGCCTCTGTCAAGGATCAATAAGTTCAATAAGAGTGCAAACCATGGCCACTAAATCAAGTGAGATGTGCTCATGTTAAACTCAATACTTGTACATGCCACAGACACGGCATATGTTTTCTTCACATTGACAATAAAGCTTTATGTAGAATTATGATAAAAATATGAATTGTGCAGTGTTTTGAATAAGTGATTTCTTATTACTCGACAGAGTACAAATTTATGTCCCACATTACAAAGTTGTGTCAAGATTGTAACCATTCAGTATCCACAGGAAAGATAACCATCTAAATTTTAAATATGTGCTTCTTTTCATAAATATCGTGTTGAAGGCGAATATACTGTGAATATACAGCCAAATTTTACGGGTACGTCAAAATGTGGCAGCTGTCTATCCATATAAATTTGCATAATTTTTGAAGATTTCATTGTTAATTGATTGGATTTAAAGTACTGGTAGATATCACTTGTCTTACAAAAACAAGAACAAGATATTTGATGTGTTTAGAACTTGTCGGAAATATATTAAGTTAGATATCTCAAGTCTCTTTCATAGGCTAATTTTCCAAAAGGTGGGGCATGTAATCTCACATATCGTACAGTCCTCTATGAAAGCCTTCAAGACAGTGCCATGTGACCATTAATGAGCCATGGCTCCCACTAAACCACATTCAATAACTCATTCACCATACAATTGGTTTTCTATATATATATATTCATTAGTGAGTTTACAAGTAACACAAACCATTCATACTTTGAAGCATCAGAATTCAAGTTCACTTCTTTCTTCTACTACTTCTTTGAGATCATTCTATTGTCAAGAAACAAAAACAAGAATGGGTTTTCGTTTACCTGGTATTAGACGATCATCATTCAGTGCAAGCCAATCATCTAGCAAAGAAGTGGAAGTCCCAAAAGGATATCTTGCAGTTTATGTTGGAGAGAAAGCGAGGAGGTTCTTGATTCCAATATCATTCTTAAACGAGCCTTTATTTCAAGAATTGCTTAGTCAATCTGAAGAGGAATTTGGTTACTATCATCCAATGGGCGGTCTTACGATTCCCTGCAAGGAAGAAGTCTTCTTACATACAACATCTCGCTTAAACGGCCTATAATTAATTCATGCTGAATAAAAAGGTCATATTTGTATGATAACATAGAATAGTGTAGGACTGACTAGTTGAGACAGTTTTTGTACCTGAGGAATTTTGTTATGTTTCCTCTTAAATTGAAATCTGAAATGAGAATATCATCAAACTATATTCTTGTGAATTCAATTTATATGTTGTTTATTGTGTCATCTTAAAACACTTTCATTACATGCACAAACACAAGCCATGTATCACGCCATACATGATACAACAAAACTGAAAACAAAAACTCTTCAAAGGAAAAAACTTTCGTTAACCTGCAAAGGTTTTCAACTTGATTGACACATGATAGAATTTTGGAAGTAAGTCAGTAGAAATAAAATTTAAAAACATATCAATAATTGATCACATAATATGTTGCATTTATCTAGTGATGGTTAAAGAAGGTGGTGGAGACCATAATCACAAAGATTTCTTGTGCTCTTCATATGTCTGGACTTGTTGTCGAAGTTGATGCCCGAAAGCACGCCGCAATTTTTGGTTAACTAAGAATCAAATAGTCACCTGAATCGTAAAGCTCCTATACAACAGCAGAACTTTTAGTAGCTAGCTATATATGTCGGCACTGAACCGTATTATCAAAATGAGGAAAACATGTGACATGTGTAACGCGTATCCGTAATAAATCAAAGCATTAAGTTTAAGCTAGCTAGCCATCTCATTTGACTTTGAATTAATTGGTAGGCATGTTGTAAATGTTATCCTGGGAAAAAGGGTGAAATGAAAGAGATAGAAACACAAATTGGCAATCTACTATTGTTTGATGTATCACAGAATTAAATTGAATTGAAAGCTATGTTATGATATGTATATGGTGAATTTGCATGTAACACAGAATTAAATTGAATTGAAAGCTATGTTATGATATGTATATGGTGAATTTGATGTTTTCTATAACACAGAATTGAATTGAAAGCGCATTTGATTAGACATTAGAGTAGAGTGAAAAGAAAGTATGCATAAGAATGATAGAATAAGAGTTTGTATAATAACCAAATCAGAACAAGAATTTAACTCAACATAACAGCAGCACCTGCCTGCATTGTTCAAAATCTTCATGATAAAGGAAAACAAAACCCTAAATTCAAAATGAAAGAGAAAAGGAACGTAGTAATAATGGAAAAGGAACGTAATAATCGAAACCTGAACGGAGAAGACGACGAGGAAAAAAATCGCAAAAAAATTTGGACCATTTCTCGATTTGTGCGTGTCATCCTTGCGCAGGGGCCATGCTAATCTTCTCTGTATCGTTCCAATTTTATCGGATGTCCCCGAAGGGACGAGCTATTAGTGAGTATCTCTTGTATATAAACACAGCAAAAAATAACACACCAGCCTATGTGGGACTAAAACTATTGCTTTGCCCAAACCGCTTCTAATTTTTCCTCTTCAATCTGCATCTATATATATAATTTATTTTTTGGTACCATCTTAAATACTTCCATTACATTCACAAACATAAGACATGTGCCAATTTTATGGATATGGTCTATTATGTACTAATAGATATGGTAATTCAAAAGTAGTATATATTATCACGACATACATGATATACAACAAAACTCAAAACAAGAATTGTTCACATAATATGTTGCATTTTTCTAGTCATGCTTGAAGAAGGTGGTGAAGACATAACCACAAAGACTTCTTGTGCTCTTCACATGGACTTGTTTTCGAAGTTGTAGTCCGAAAGCACGCAATGAATGGCAACCCTTTACTCTAAATTAGGGATGTTAACTTGCATTTGTTAACGGGGATCTACGTGGGAATTATCTCTACAAAGCTCTAAAATTGGGGATTTTTCCCCGTCGAGACGGGGATGGAGGAAAAAGTTCCTCTGATGACACTTCAGGGAGGGGATCAGGGAAGTACCCTCCACCCCGCAGATTCCCCGGCCCTGACCATATTATTTAACTTTTATAGATATTTGGAAATAAAAAGTCGTCAATAAATCATGTTATTTTTTTGTTTCATTGAGTAATGTATTGTTTCATTATCCAAGTATCCAACCCTAAAATGTGCACTCATTATATGTAGTGTACACACAATCTCCTATTCTTCTCTTCTTAATTCTCTTTGTCTCCTCCATTCCTCATTTCCTCTGTTCTCATCATCACAACAACCATTATCCTTCGTTCATTGTTCATGAGGTAATTACTCATCAACTTCATTATACTTCAATTAGTAACATGCTTTAGTGGTTATGTTTTTGTAACAACAAGTGCTTTTGTATTTTTTTGTTATTGATGTAACACGTGTTTTATTTTTTTTATAAAAAAAAAAAAAAAGAAAGATGCAAAATATAAGTTTAAAAAAAGTAAAAAATCACGAAATAGTAGTGTCATAGTTTTAATCAAAAAGTATAGAAATTTTTTTAAGATTCAATCTCCGATTTTCTGTGGGGATCTGCGGGAATGGGGATGGAGAAAAATAATCCCCTGTAGCGAGGATCGGGGATGGGGATGAGGAAAATAATGGGAAGCGGGAAAGCATCCTCCGCACATTCTCTATCCTGTTGACATCCCTACTCTAAATTCCTAGCAGCCCTCCACTACTCATAAAAGTGAATATTATGTATTTTGTTAATCAAAAGACTATCACAACCTCCTTGCATTTAGTATACTCAAATTAAAAATATACTTTTGGTAAAACCAGGGCTTACCACTTTTTGATCCAATAATGAAAAGTCTTCCATTGGCAAACCCAACATTCATTTTGATTGAACTTTTGTCTTTTTTAAGGATTTTGTTTTTCTTTTTGTTCTTGAATTAGTAACATATTAAGAACATAGAAGTCATTTAATTTAATACCATTTAAAGGTTTTTTGGTTAACTAAGAATCAAATAGTCATCTCAAACGTAAAGCTCCTTAAAGTTAGAAACTCATTTAAGTTGAGCACTTGAAATAGTCGGATACTTCAAAAGCAGCAGTAAGTATCAGAAGCATAAGGAATATGTAAAAATTGGATGCTTAGCTATAAGATAGCTTATCAACTATTAGAGTTTTGAAGCAAGTCATTAGCATTGAAATGAAATGAAGACAAGAAGAATATACAAATAATTGAAGAAGGTGGTGGTGACCATAATCACGTGAACTACCCACACTCTTCATATGGATTGAGGTCATAGTTGTTATCCTATAACGTGAAGCTCCGCTATCCGGGATTGATAAGTCTGACACAGGTGTTTAAAGCTAGAAACTCATCCAAACTTATGTGTGTTTATCAATTTTAAATGGAGAAGTTTGACTAGTTTGACACTTAAAAGATAGTTTGGCGACACCTATGACTGTTGAACATAAATATATCCAGTATGTCTGCTACTTGGAGTTTTAAACATGTCTACTGATAAATTTTGACTGCTGAACAAGCCTTTGATGAAAGTTCCGAGTTACCTCCCTACATTTATGATGATTTGCATCCAACTATGCAATATCTATCTATATTAGAATTCACACAACATCAGACCTTTTTTGTAGCTAGCTATATGTCAGCACTGAGCCGTGTTACCAATATGAAGAAAACATGTGACATGTCTAATGCGCGTCTACAAAAATAAGAGTATCCATAATAAATCAAAGCATTAAGTTTAACATAGCCATCTCATTTTTGACTTTTAATTGGGTTGCCTATCTAATGGGTTGCCTATTCAGAAGGTGGGGCAAGCAGCAAGCTATAACCTGACCGTCCAAGACAATACCATGTGGTGATCCCTCATGTTATCCCTATAAATTTGCATAATTTTTGAAGAAGATTTCATTGTTAATTGATTGGATTTAAATTACTGGTAGATATCACTTGTCTTAAAAAAAAAAGAACAAGATATTTGATGTGTTTAGAACTTGTCTGAAAATATATTCAGTTAGATATCTCAAGTCTCTTTCATAGGCTAATTTTCCAAAAGGTGGGGCATGTAATCTCACATTTCGTACAGTCCTCTATGAAAGCCTTCAAGACAGTGCCATGTGACCATTAATGAGCCATGGCTCCCACTAAACCACATTCAATAACTCATTCACCATACAATTGGTTTTCTATATATATATATTCATTAGTGAGTTTACAAGTAACACAAACCATTCATACTTTGAAGCATCAGAAATCAAGTTCACTTCTTTCTTCTACTACTTCTTTGAGATCATTCTATTGTCAAGAAACAAAAACAAGAATGGGTTTTCGTTTACCTGGTATTAGACGATCATCATTCAGTGCAAGCCAATCATCTAGCAAAGAAGTGGAAGTTCCAAAAGGCTATCTTGCAGTGTATGTTGGAGAGAAAGCGAGGAGGTTCTTGATTCCAATATCATTCTTAAACGAGCCTTTATTTCAAGAATTGCTTAGTCAATCTGAAGAGGAATTTGGTTACTATCATCCAATGGGCGGTCTTACGATTCCCTGCAAGGAAGAAGTCTTCTTACATACAACATCTCGCTTAAACGGCCTATAATTAATTCATGGTGAATAAAAAGGTCATATTTGTCTGATAACATAGAATAGTGTAGGACTGACTAGTTGAGACAGTTTTTGTACCTGAGGAATTTTGTTATGTTTTCTTTTAAATTGAAATCTGAAATGAGAATACCATCAAACTATATTCTTGTGAATTCAATTCATATGTTGTTTATTGTGTCATCTTAAACACTTTCATTACATGCACAAACACAAGCCATGTATCACGCCATACATGATACAACAAAACTGAAAACAAAAACTCTTCAAAGGAAAAAACTTTCGTTAACCTGCAAAGGTTTTCAACTTGATTGACACATGATAGAATTTTGGAAGCAAGTCAGTAGAAATAAAATTTAAAAACATACCAATAATTGATCACATAATATGTTGCATTTATCTAGTGATGGTTAAAGAAGGTGGTGGAGACCATAATCACAAAGACTTCTCGTGCTCTTCATATGTCCGGACTTGTTGTCGAAGTTGATGCCCGAAAGCACGCCGCAATATTTGGTTAACTAAGAATCAAATAGTCATCAGAATCGTAAAGCTCCTAAAAGTTAGAAACTCGTGGAAGTTGAGAACTTGAAATACTTATGACTGACTGCTGAACTTAAAATATATGCGGTATGTCTGCTGCTTGTGGGTTCAAACATGTACTAGTGATATATTTTGAGTGCTGACCAAGCCTTGGATGAAAGTTCCATGTTGCCTCCCTACAACAATTATGATGATTTGTATCCAATCCACTTGAGCATTATCCATCTACGCTAGAATTCACACAACAGCAGAACTTTTAGTAGCTAGCTATATATGTCGGCACTGAACCGTATTATCAAAATGAGGAAAACATGTGACATGTGTAACGCGTATCCGTAAAAAATCAAAGCATTAAGTTTAAGCTAGCTAGGCATCTCATTTGACTTTGAATTAATTGGTAGGCATGTTGTAAATGTTGTCCTGGGAAAAAGGGTGAAATGAAAGAGATAGAAACACAAATTGGCAATCTACTATTGTTTGATGTATCACAGAATTAAATTGAATTGAAAGCTATGTATATGGTGAATTTGCATCTAACACAGAATTAAATTGAATTGAAAGCTATGTTATGATATGTATATGGTGAATTTGCATGTAACACAGAATTAAATAGAATTGAAAGCTATGTTATGATATGTATATGGTGAATTTGATGTTTTCTATAACACAGAATTGAATTGAAAGCGCATTTGATTAGACATTAGAGTAGAGTGAAAAGAAAGTATGCATAAGAATGATAGAATAAGAGTTTGTATAATAACCAAATCAGAACAAGAATTTAATTCAACATAACACCAGCACCTGCCTGCATTGTTCAAAATCTTCATGATGGACACAACCTGCATTGTTCAAAATCTTCATGATGGACACAACCTGCATTGTTCATTGTTCAAAATCTTCATGATAAAGGAAAAGAAAACCCTAAATTCAAAATGAAAGAGAAAAGGAACGTAGTAATAATGGAAAAGGAACAAAACCTAAACAAAAAGGAACGTAATAATCGAAAGCGAAGTGCAGAACAACAAAACCTGAACGAGGGAAAAAATCGCAAAAAAATTTGGACCATTTCTCGATTTGTGCGTGTCATCCTTGCGCAGGGGCCATGCTAATCTTCTCTGTATCGTTCCAATTTTATCGGATGTCCCCGAAGGGACAAGCTATGAGTGAGTATCTCTTGTATATAAACACAGCAAAAAATAACAAACCAGCCTATGTGGGACTAAAACTATTGCTTTGCCCAAACCGCTTCTAATTTTTCCTCTTCAATATGCATCTATATATATAATTTATTTTTTGCTACACTAATTATCTAATTTAACTTTAACTAATTAATTTCTAAAAATCTCCTAATTCATTTTCAATTTTTTTATTTGTATACTTAATTAAGATTATCCACTCAATTTTTATGAGATCAAATCTTCATCTACAGTAATGAATAAGTTGTTATGTTTATGAGATCAACATATCAAAGTCAATCTCTTAAGGATAACACCTACTGTAAAGTGACATTCGCTCAAATCTCTTATGATCTTAATCAATAAATCTCTCCAATGATGGTATTAATCAATTAGGTGATATGCATAATCGATTATGAGAATTAAAAAGCACATATATGGTTTTCATTTTTTAGCCAGATTTCTCTCCTATAAATAGAGAGCTCTCCTTACTTGTAAATCACACCAGAAAAAGTATATGACTCATTGTATTTACTAGATTTATGGGTATCAGGTGTATACCTGATTAGCTCTAATGCTAGTGGGAGATTGTTGGTGTAAGCCCCATGGGCCAATAGTTTTATTAGAACTTGGTATTTGTATCGAATTATTTATTAATAATTAAAAGGCATTTATTTATCTATCATGTTTGTTTTTCTAAAATAATGAAGTCCTTACAATAGCTAGTCTGTTAATGAAATATTAAGTGTGACTTAATCATTAGATCTCATTAAACATAAGGACACTACTTTTAAAGTATTTATAGTCGAACTTTATTGTGAAGTGGGATAATATTAAAGCATATATACTATTATATGGATAGGTTGATGATCGCATCTCATGGATCATGAATAAAGAGTTACCAAGTCTCCATATAGGTATCAGTGTTAGGATTAATATTCATACTAGATTGACCCTCTATGAGAATACTACATAGAATGTTATGGAAAGTGTCTTAAGTTATTCTCATCGTGATAGTGGTGTATACCACCCTTTGACCTAAAAACAGTATGGACTCTAGATGTGGAATCGAGTACTTTATTGTTGATCAAATGTTGTCAGTAGCTAGAGGACCATAAAGACAGTTGATGGGTATTCCACAAATCATGTTGAAGGACATGAGTGACCTAGATGAGATTTTCCTATCCTACATAACAAAAGAAATGTCTAAAGGTCCAATAATGAATTGGATAAGGGTGACATGGTTTATGCCTTGCGTTTAATATAGACATGAGGGGAAAAGAGTAAATATACACACAAGCATTATCATGATAAGGTCTTTGTTAAATCACGTGGTATTTTCGTGATTTGGGTAGCAGTGATGTGTTGCTAGATACCGCTCAATGCTTATTATATAAAATATGTGATTTAATATAATTTCCAACGTCAGAAGAACCTACAGGGTCAAACACATAAGCACATATTGATGAGAGATGGAATAAATAAGGAACACTGTAAGGTACGATGTACTTAAGAGAATTATGGAATATCGTAAGATATAATGCACTTAAGTTGAATATAGAAAATGGTAAGGCACTATAGGTTTTGGTTGGTTTTGTGCGACTAAAATATGGATTGAAGTGCAAAATCGCACTCTGTGCAGAAATTGCGATTATGTAGATCACAGATTGGTTACAAGCGCTAGCTTGGTGACGCCCAGGGAGTCAAGCCCTTTAGAGAAAAGGAACATAGTAGTAATGGAAAAGGAACAAAACCTAAACAAAATGGAACGTGTTGTACCCCAAATTTTGCCCTCTCACTTCTCAAGATTTTCTCACAAAATTTCTACTGGGTCAAGGCTGCACAAGTGCAATTGGATCATATTGAATTTCCAAGCATCAGGTCAAATAGGAAACTATTGGAAGAGCAAAGCAGATAAGTTTGATTTTTTAACAAAATTGAAGAAAAATAAGCTTACTTCGATTCATGCTTAGCTTCGACTGGATTTGGTTTCCATTTGAAACAGTTTCCTTCGATTCAGAAGGAAATGACCTTTTGAAAGTTTCCTTCGATTCAGAAGGCAACGGCCTTCTGAAGGTTTCCTTCGATTCACCAAGTAGGGACCTCCTGCATGCAAGCCTCGTTTGGGCATTTAGGCTTCTTGTATACATCCTTCGATTGCACCATTGCATCCTATATGATTGCTTTGATTCACCAGGCAGGGACCTCCTGCATGCAAGCTTTGATTGCACTACTGGCCTTACATGCTTGCTTGATTCACAACACAATAGTTACCTGCGTGCCTGCTTTGATTGAGCAAGGGCCTCTGCAGGTTTGTCTTGATAACTATCTGCATGCAAGTTTAATTCCTATTTCGATTGAGCATTTGATTTCTTTTGAGCAAGCTTGATTCCTGCTTCGACTGGGCAGTATCTCCCTTGGGAATTTTATTTCGACATGCATAGTTTCTACATTATGGTGGCCCATTCGAAGGACCTGCAAGACATACCTGGATGTCCTATTCGAAGGACATATTTGATGGTCCATTCGAAGGACCTGCAAGACATACCTGGATATCCCATTCGAAGGACATATTTGGTGGCCCATTCAAAGGACATATTTGGTGGCCCATCCAAAGAACATGAATTTCTTGCATTCGAATGAACATATAAAAGGTCCATTCGAAGAACACAATTAATGTTTGGTCTCTTGATGAGTCTAATCAAAGGTTTGCTGACCAAAGTCTAATGCGCTGCAAGTCCAAGCCTGATGCACTGGCCACAACACTCCAAAACTGCTGCACAGCAGTCCTGCTACACTTCTCTTATATGTGCACCAATTTGGCATACAAATACTGCACCTCGAAAGCTACAAAAATAGCTTACTCATTTTATTCAAATTCTTTTGTTTTCCCTCCCAAATCTCAGCAAACTTCATCTATAAATAAGATGTTCCATAACACATCTCAGGGAGATGGACAACACATCCAGAGGATTTTGGTAGCTGGAGAAACTTTGATTGTGTGAAAATCATCAAACACTTAATACACTCTCAAACCCAGAATCAAAAGAACATACCCTTGTTTCTGTTCCTTTCGAATCCAACACTAGAAACACAACACTTGTTTCTTTTCCCTTTTGAATCTAGAAGCAACCCCACACTTTGTTCTTTTTTTCGAATCCAGCAAAATAAACGCTATACTTGTTCTTTTCCTTCGAATTCAGAAACAACAAATACAACTCCACTCTTCTTGGCCTTCGAATCCAGTCAAAGAAACACCACACTTGTTTCTTTCCTTTGAATCCAAGAGCAATTAGGTGAGCCACTCAAGGTCCAACACATACACTCCAGTGTCAAGCAAGGTAAGTCACTCTAACCTTAACCCTTTCGTTTCAAGCATGTAAATAACATTTGTTCACTTTTGATTTCTGTCCTTTTGATTGCATTCTTTTCTTGTCCAAGTATACGTTAAAACTAACCTGTATAGACCCCAAACAAAAGAAAAAGTTTTGTGTGAAACGAATCCTTAGGCTTCGCCCCTTACTGCTTCACAGTCCCAAATGAAAGACAAAGAGGGCGTGAACGGAGGATGCGTACTCATACTGCTTTGCAGGCCCATATTGCTTCACAGTCCAAACGAAGGAGCAAGAAGGGAGAAACGAAGGATGTTCACACTGACTTCCAGGCCCCAATCGAAAGAAGGGAAAAGGGTGTAATTGAAGGGTGCTCACACTGATTCCCAGCCCCAATTGAAAGGAGTCAAAGGAGGGTGAATCGAAGGAGCCTACTGCTTGGATCGAAGGACTCACTTTTTCTCTCTTTTTATGTTATTTATGCTTTTTTTCATATTTTCTTGTTATTCAATATGGTTGTAATAGTGTAGGATATTTATTTTCTGCATTTTTATTGTTTTATACAAATGTTAGTAATTAGGATGTATGTCAAGATAAAACCAACAAGTATACCACCCTAATTAAATACTAAAGGCATGCAATCAAACACACTTTGCACACATGCACCTCTAGAGTAATCTCACTTATTGTCTCGTGTGATACGGTGGCAGAATTGACTATTTAATACTAGTTTGCATTTTGTATTTGCAAATGTGAGGTAAGCAAGAGTCGTCACTGACTTTTCTTTTATCCAATAAAGGAAAGGGTGAAAAGAACAGAAAAATACCTTTTTCGATAGTTTTTTGAGTAAGGGGGGTAGATTATGGAAAGGTAAGGTGTTAGCACCCTTTCCATCCGTAGTTTTCTACGGGCTCTTAGAGGTTTTCTCATTTTAAAATACCTTTGTGCTTTGTGTGTTTGAAAATATTTTGAAAATGCCTTAGTACGACAAACTTTGTAATATTTCTAGGGATAGTGGAGAAAGTATACAAAGTGTTTTGAAATTGTTTTTGAAAAGTAGTTTTCTGTGTAAGTGCAAAATGTTTGAGCAAACTTCTAACAGCTATTTACTTTGTTACTCGAAAAGGATCGTTCTTTTCCTCTTTTCCTTTAGACAATGCTATCTTACTATTAGTGAGTAGGTAGCCTTATCGTTGGATGTTGAGGGACATTCGAAGGGAAGTTTTACAGTCATAAAGGCAACATATAGAGACGCTTTAGCAACTTTTGTTTAAGGGACGAGATCATTTACCGAAAGGCAACACTGTAAGGGTCATCGAGGGAATATGATCTTTTGATTTACGTGTCTTTTCTAAAGCGTCCCCATTCTCGAGGGACATGACTGCTTTATTTTCCGAAAGGCAACCGAAGCGGGGAGATACCCTAGGGGTGAGCATGTGCAAGTGTGTTGAGATTCAGTTATTTTTTTGTCTTTTTATTAGGTTAGCTAACGTTTTAAGTTTACAGTATTTCCATGCAAGCCTATTTACTAACAGTAATATAGAAAATTAATAAAGTAGTAAATGTACGGGAAATAAAACGCATAAAAATAAATCCTAAACTATTACACAGCTTTGGGATAGTTACATAAAAAAGTGCATGAAAAAAAGTGCGTAATTTTAAACCTAGACTATTACATCCCATAATCAGTTACATTATTTATATAAAATGCGAGAAAATAATAACGCGCAAAAGGTCAGAAACTACTTCTAAGAACCTAAGACAAAAAGATTGCTTATTTTTGATTTAAGAGAAAAAATAAATTAGTTTTCCTAAAGTCATATTTAGAAAATAAACTAAACTTTTTGTGGGTTTTTTTTATATCTTATGAAAAGAAATATTAAAATTAAAGTAAGTCCTAAATTCTAGTTAACTTTTAATTTTGAAAAAAAAGGTTAAAGTCAATTAATTAATTAATTTTAGAAACTAATTATTTTAATAAATAAATAAAAACTAAATCCTATTTTTTGTGATTTTTATTGTTTGTTGATTAAAAACAAAGTAATGAAAAGGATAAGCTAAATGGGAAAAAGCAGTAAAAAGGAAAAGAGTAATCTGCAGGATGTATGCCTGGATCGAAAGGCCTAAGGCTACCTTTCGATCCAACTGAAAAGGCTGGTCGAAGATGCCTGAGAGACTGCATCTCTGGAGTGTTCAACCTGGACGTGTCATCCTTCGATCAGGGATACTAGATCTGCAAGGAATTAGTTAGAAAAAGAACAAAAACATATGACCTAGATGTCAAACCCAGGTATTTCGACTCCCTCTCCAATCAAAGGAATCTGAAGTTATTTCGCCCCAAAAATCCTGAGATTCGAATTTGGGTTTAAAAAAGGCAGAAGATTCATGTGTCACCTAGTTCGAAGCATACTGCTTCGAAGCCCTAAACAGTATTCCTGCAAAATGAAAAAATGTTAAAGATCCAGGGGTGACTTTACCCCCTAATTTGAATCCCTCCCTAATTCGAATGTCTCTCTAACTCGAATCTGGGTTTGTTTGGCCTGGAACTTCCTAAATGTGATTCGAAGGAAAAACTCAGATCGTGCCCTAGCGATGGCACGTTCTCATTCATGCACTTTATCTTGCATGCAACACAAATATTGCATTGTATATCTAAATGGTATGAAGATGCAGTTTTGGTTCTGCAAACCCTTACCAGTTGAAGGTGGCTCTGAGCATGGAAATGTTTGCTGGGGAGTTGGTGTGGACTCCTGGAGAGGGGACCTGCAAAGGTGTTTCGACTGGGAGGCTTTTTGGATTTTTGAGTAACGTGGTGTGTGTAATCTCTTCATGTGCAAAATGTATCTCTACATGTGAATCTCCTTTCTCTCCTTTTTTAATTTGTGTTTGACATCTTGTATTTATAAATGGTGGAGGAGACAAGGAAATAGGGAAAGAATCATGGCATTGAAGACCAACCATTAAACATGGCCTTGAAAACATAATCAGACCCATTAAAAGATTACCACTTTGAGATATATCATGCCATTTTAGAATCCTGAGTGAATCTGGACAAGTCAACTTGGCGCCTTGTTCGAATTTGAAAATATTCAAAATTTCCCTCTCCAAAGCCCCTTCGACCAGCCCTTGTTCCCTTCGATGGTTCTGAGTTCTGATTCGAAGTAATCAGAACTTCCCTCATCAGAACATTTTAGATTAAGACATATTTGCATTGACATTCCAATCGAAGGCAATTCTGATGTTCCAATCAAAAGACCCTCCGATGTTCCAATTGAAGGACACCCTGATGCCTCAATTGAAGGGAGCTTTGATGCTCCAATCTAAGAAAGCTCTGATGCTCCAATCGAAGGAAGCTCTGATGCTCTAATCGAATGAAGCTCTGATTCTCCAATCAAAG